GGTTAGGGGGTTAGGGTTACGGGGTTAGGGTTAGGGGGTTAGGGTTAGGGCCCCCACAGTGTTTCCAGAGGTAGCGTTCAGCCTCATAGCGCACCTGAATGAACATGCAGACGTGGAGTCATGAATGAAGAGTTAACTTCATGTTCTGCAGCTGAGGATTGAAGTGTGTCGCTGGTTTTCCTCTGTGTCGGCCAGAGGTGAGGAAATGCCGTGACAGTCATAAGTGATCAGATCTCACTGATAGGAGGCGAGCATCAGCACTCACATGCTTTATCACTCTTGCCACCATGTCAGGGTCCTGTTGACTAAAGTCATCCTGTGTGGGAGCGAAAGTGATCAAACCATGGACTAAAAGAGTAGGGAATTCCCAAAAGTTGGGAAATGTCACAGCCTGGTGTTATAAGGTGCCATTCTGTCAGCCTCCATTAACAAAGATTCAGGTTCATGCAGCAAGACTGAAAAACGGCTGCAGGAGTAAACGACCGATTTACAGCTGATCTGAGCCTTAGAAGATCCAGTTTAGACAGAAATAATCTATGTTCAGTACGGCATAGTTTCTACATCTGATCCACATTGTAAGCCAGCAGCTCTGCAGTATGTGTCCATCAGCCATGGCCGGGTCCTTCAGCCGCTCCTCCACCTGGATGCTGCTGCTGCTTCTGCCTCTGTTCACCTGCCTCCATCAGTCCTTTACAGCTTCCATCAAATGTGGGAAGACGCCAGAGTTCGACAGCGACGTGAAAACTTTGGGAAACAGCGTGAGCGTAAGTGTTGTTGATGATTCAGGCAACACACTCATCTGTCTTTAAAACTCTTCATTGTTCCTGCAAGACAAAGCAAAGTTCAGAAACTAAGTACAAACTGAAGCCGTTCTCTGCAGCAGGCCCGTTCGCGCTACGCTCACAATAACGGTATTAAAGCTGCTTTGTGCTGCACGGGGCTGAAGCTGTGAGTCCATGATGTCACTGACACTCAGTGGGAGGCGTGAACTCATCACACATTAGACTGGCTCTGTGTCGTTTGCTGCTGTGGTTTCTTCATCTGTGTTTCCTGTTTGGATCAACAGGCTTGTTCTGAGGTCTGCAGCTCCGTGAACATCACTGTAAGTCACAACCTCCTTCGCTTCATTTGCTGGATCTAACTTTTCTCTTCTCTGGATCAATACATTATCTGTTTGAGCATTGTTCTGGTTTGTCTTGGGTCTGATTGGATTCGGGTCGCGCGACAGAAGTGCTGGCCGTGATAATGTTCAGGTGTATAAGACGTCAGGCTTTGAACAGAAGCTGTAAACCGGCTGTCACGAAGGCAACAATAATCCAAGAACATCTCAGAAACCTTCTGTCTCCTCACATGTCATCACTTTATCAATTCGTCCTCTTTGCACTTTTGTATGAAAAGTGTCTTTTTAACCTTAAATTCTCTGTGACACCAGAACACATGGTGGATGGGACGGTACAGGACATCCAGTGTTTCACTGAAGATTGGAGAAAAGAAATCAGTGTGAATAAAAGTGTAAAAACACATCAGGAGAATTTCAGGATGTCAGTCCTGCTACTAATAATATATTACATGTATGTATGAGGTCAGAGCTAACAGGACGCTAACAGGATTTCCAGCTCAGGACTGAAACCTGCTACAGCTGCACTCTGAATCGTGCGTGTTCAGCTTCAGCACCAAGACGTCTTCACCACTTCCTCTTCGCTTTATCTCATCTCAGACTATTTTGCTTATTCTTGCTAACAGCGGCTTTGTTGACTGGAAGACTTCTTCTTTCAGTTTTCTTCTTTCTTACCTGTATTTGTGTGCAGAAACAAGTGAAGCTCGTTTTCAGTCCGACTAAAACTCTCTAAATGTTCAATACATTCACTTTCTTCTTTGGGTTAGGGTTCTTCTTATTGCAAAGTCTGAAAACATGTGATGACAACAGACACAGTGCAGGTTCAGGACTTTAACAACATTTGAACTTCATTTCTGTCTCCTGCTCAGGACAAGAAGTGCCAGTGTCTCCACTTCAACGTGTCACAAGGGGTGAGTTTCCATCCAGAGGCCATCATCCACTCCACTGGTTTAAAGTGTTTACATGAAAACATGAGAAAATAGATTGTTTATCATGAGGAAAATGGATGTATTAAGTTATCTAAGATGCTCAGCTTAGCTTAGCTTAGCATAGCTAAGCTTAGCACAAATACTAGTAGGAGAAAGCAGCTGTAGTTCATTTAAACTTTAATTCTTGGACTTATTATATATTTTTTCAGGAAACTGCTTCCAGAAGAGACATTTCTTGGCCTACATGCATCATTTAAAAAGTGTTCAGAACCAGTTTCAGTCAACAAAAGATCTGAAATGGACTAAATCAGAAATATAAAAGTAAAGAATTTGGTAAAGAGAATAAATGTTAAAGGATTCAGATGAGAGACCAGACGACTGTCAGCTCCTCTCTGTTTCCAGGAAAGACAGCAATAATTCAACACCGAAGCCGCTCCAGATTACTGGAGCGGACCCTAAGATGTACTGACGACGACCCGGATTGAACAAGTCCAGAGTGAAGCTGTGTTCAACACACTGGTACACACATCAGACCAGCTTCATCCTGGACTAACGCTGTGCTTCCTCCTCTGGCAGGAATGTGCCTTTCCTAATTCATTCATCGCAGGCCTGAAGTTCCTGATGCCAGACCCTCCCAGTCAGAGGAACGCCATCCATCATCTGATCAGGAGGCTGGAGAAGATGAGCGGCGACTGCGTGGTGAGTAAAGCTGCAGCTCTGTGCTTCACTGCAACGTCAGAGCAGGTCTGAGCCGATGGAAGAGCTGCTGGTGACAGCCAGTAACTGCTGCATCTCACACACACACATACATATACATATATATGTATGTGTGTGTGTGTGTGTGTGTCAGTCGTGTGAAGCTGTGAACACACTCAGACTGTTTCAGACGTGTCATGATGATTTTCTGCTTTTGTTCGTGAAACAACAAGAACTCAGCTCATGTGGTCCATGTGTCTCCCTGCAGGTGAACTTCTGCTCGCTGTCTGCGCTGTCCGAGTTCAACACGTCCATCATTTCACCAAAAGTCTTTCACAAGCATCTGGAAAAGCTGACTCAGGAGTACAACGTCAAGTTTCAGTGACGTGACGAATCCCATCATCACGTGTGTCTTCAGAGTTTCATCTGGACGTCCATCAAGCTCAGAACATCTCCAGTAATCAGCATGTGTTTGTCTCCTTTAAAACTGTTTGAAACTCAGCTGGTTGCTGCACAGCGCCACCATCTGGTTAAATACAGTAGTGTGTTTAATGTCATCCAGAGCACCTCTGACACGTTTAGCGGTCTTCATTCAAACACTGTTGTTGACCACCAACGTAGAGCTCCCAGCTTATTATTATATCCACATTGTGACTTTCACTGTCAGCAGAATTTATCAAAGGATTTTATACAGTTTGTGACCAAAGTGGACCCAGGACAGAAAAAATGGAAAATTAATGAATAATACACAAACATTGGTGTTCAAGGAAGGAATCAATACGTGAACATCATGAGACTTTATCGTATATTTTATTGGTCATCAGTCAAATCAATCAGCGGTTAAAGCCAACACTAAGCAGCGGCGCTCCGTGAACTCAACGTGACACGTGATGTACGTCTCCTCATGTACTGGTTGTTGCTTATTATTTATTTATTTATTACTAACTTATCAGTGCATGGTTTACCTGCTGTCCCTGGCTTACCTGGTTTACCTGCTGTCCCTGGCTTACCTGGTTTACCTGCTGTCCCTGGCTTACCTGTCCAGTGTTGTTGTGTGTTTGTGCTGGAGTGACACACATTCAGCTGAAGTGAAGCATCCTGCTGCAGTCCAAAGACTCGACTGTCTGTTCGGGACCATTTTTGGGTTCATGTTCTGGAACCTTGTTTTTAAACGTGTCCTGTGAATCGGCTGGTCGACTCCGAGTCCATAAATAAAGTTCTTATTGTCATGAATCCTGCTGTGTGATCACTTTTCCTCTACAGCGTCTATATTTAAAGGAAGACTGACGCAGGCTGGCAGTAGATCCAGCATTCTGCTATCAGGTCGGTTTCTTAGTGGTCATTGCTGTGAATGGCCAAACAGCACCAGGGGTCCATAAATGCTGAGTGAAGCTCTGGAGCTGATTCTCAGGTGTTTGGTTTGAGGCTGAAGACGCTGAAATGTGTTTCCTTCATCTGTCTTTGGAGGAAAAGGCTCCATGTGCTGGTTAGGAGATGATATTAAAACGTTCAGGTGACGCACCAAAGTGCAGGTTCACGTGTTCTCAAGTCCGTCAGTGGTGGATGCGTTCGGTCCGTCTGTCCAGAGCCGCTGCAGACGTTGTTTCACTGAGCTACATGTCGTAGGCCTTGTTCTCTCCTAGAATTAGAAGAATCTCAAGGAACCCTGGAGTTCTTCAAGGAACCTTGTCTGAGGAACCTTTACCAGATCAAATGAGTCATGAAGTTGTTTTTACATGGATGTGCTGCAGTAGAGCTCCTTCAGACAGGCCTGAAGGCGTTCAGGCAGTTTCTGAGGCTGGTTCTGTGTATTTGCTCAAACTGGAACCAGTCGGACTTTCTTCTGACAGAATTGTTCACAAATGACTTCAACACTAAAGCCAGTGGAAGAGAAACCTTTCCCATCCTGGTCAGGAACACCTTCAGTGTTGTCGTATGTCTTCATGTTTGGGACAAACAACAACAACAACAATAATTATTAATATTGTTATTTGTTCAAAATTAAACCCAACCCTCTTTGAGGAACCTTTCTAAAGGCTTCTTCAAGAACCTGTTTTGAACCTGAACAGTTCCTCCAAACTGCAGATGATGAGAAGCTCCACCAGACGTCTGAAGGCTCCTAAAGTTGCTTCAGTCTGAGGCGCCACCACAGAGTTCCAAAGTAAAGCCATTTTTAGTACAAAACTGTGATTTTTCTACTTAAGATGTCTTTTCTGAGGGAGACGAAGCACAGGAAGGGATTTGGTTTTAGAATGTATTGTTTTAAGCTCTGACTTTGCTGAAAGCTTCCATCAGCTTCTGGACAGCAGCTGCTCTGGTCTTCATGCTTCTGCTGAGTGAACGTGTCTGTGGCTGATCAGTGAGGGTTACATGAAATGGAACCAGCAGACTGCATGTCCTGCACTGGACTCTGCTGCCCTCTAAAGGCGTCATTCACACTTTAAAGGCAGCGAGTCGACAGAGTCGGCTTCACATGTGCATGTGTGAGAACACTGAGGAAACCAGCAGCGGGACAGATCAGCTCCAGACATGCAGCCGCCTCCCAGAAAGGTACGTTCTGTCTGTTCCAGCCGATAGCAACAGAGACGAGCCTCTGAACACGTTTGTCTGTGTGTCTTTACTTTCATTTCTGCTGCCTGAGTGGCGGCGACACTTCCTGAACGTCAGCACGTCCTTCAGGCTGTCCTGGACTCATGCTTTAAATACTTGGAGAATTCTTTGTTATCAATCTTACCTGGACTCAGAACTAATTGTCTCATTTGTGAGGAAATGTTTGCTGCCAGGTGTGACTTTAGGGGAAAACTAAGTCTCTCAGTGGTTGTTTTTGTGGCCACCAGTTTTCTTTCATGTAGTTGATTCACAGCTTGAGCGGTGCTACAGAAATCCTCTGTAAACACCCTTCAGCAAATGTTTTCTGGACTTCAGAGCTTCATGGGCCAAAATCAGCAACCCGTAACGTCTGATGTGAGACTGTAACCTGGAGACGGTTGATGGAACAATATGACTAAATGACTGAACTTTACAGGTATTTCACTGCTTCTGCATTCACCTGCTGAAGCTCACCATGAACCTGTTGGTCTCCACTTAGAAGCTGATGAACTTTGACTTTTCATCTAGAATTCCTTCATTTCCACCATCAGTCCCCGAGTGGATGAAGCTTCAGCTAGCATGCGCTGCTAGCTGCAGATTAGCACGAGTCAGCATCATCTAACTGAAGGTTTGACATGTTGACCACATTGACTGCGAGCATCATTGGCTCCTATGAAGGGTTGAGAACATGAAGCATGCAGCAGCAGCTCCTGTCTGAACCTGGTTCCAGTTGGTTTCAGATGGGTTTTAAAGCCCTTCACAGACGCTTTAGCTATGTTTTGGATCTTTCAGTACCGTATAGAGCAGAATGCACGGTGCGATCCTCAGCTGGTGACATTAGAGAGGAAACAGTGAACCGGTGGTCCTCTCAGACTGGAACCAAAAAGTTCTGCAAGTTCCCAAAGTGGAAAATAGATAAATGAGTGTTTAACAAGATGCAGCTGTAACTGTTTGTCTGCAGGTAAAAGAGAGTCAACAGGTGAAGCTGCTGTTCTCAGAGCAGCTCAGCAAACTGCAGCTTAAACAGCATCAGGACACTGAACTGCTGGAAGAGATCAGGTAGCATTATAATATATTACATTACATTTATTATATTACATTATATTTATTATATTTTATTATTATTTTATATTATATTATATTTATTATATTATATTTATTATGTTATATATAAATATATTAAACAGCAACAGTCTACACGTTGTTGATAACACATCCTTCCGTGCTTCCTTCAGGTCCTTCAGTAAGCAGAGAGCAGCCATAGAGAAAGACTACAGTCAGGTCAGTGTTCTATTCTGGTCCACTGTCGGTTCTGTTACTGGAACCTCCTGCTGTTTACTGCAAACGCTCCAAATCTATTGATTTCAGGTCCAATATTAGCACCTGAGTGCTGTGGTACTGTGTGTGTGTGTGTGTGTGTGTGTGTGTGTGTGTGTGTGTGTGTGTGTGTGTGTGTGTGTGTGTGTGTTCCTACAGTCCAACACTACTGAGGGCTGAGTGTGTTTTTGCACCACGGTGGGGAATGTGTCACGTATGTGAATGTGTGATAGACGTGTGTGAAGGTTCTCAGTCCTCCAGGTCCTGGTCCTCCTCGTAGATTAATCGTAGCAGCTGGACTTGCTTGAGTTTCTTGAGGACGTTTGAGCTGTGGTCCAAGAGGCTTCAGAAGGTCTCTCTGAAGAGCTGTGAATACACCTGACTGTCTGTTCAACTCCTTCTCAGGCTCTCCAGAGGTTAGCTGTCCAGTACCAGAAGAGAGACTGGCAAAGAGGAAATACAGATTCTGTCTCTTCTGGGTAACACTCACACATTCTGTCATGTTCTGGTGCTTTTATTTTGAAAATCAAACCACACAAAAGGGAGCTGATGATCATATAATTAGTGTATTGACTGAAGTAACTGGTACAGACGGTGTTCTTCATGAGGCCTGACAGCTTGTCCAGACGAACCTCCAGATTCTAGTTCATTTCAGATCCAGACTCTAATAATAAATACTAAACAAACAGTTCATTAAAGGTTGATTTTATTGGTCAGCAATCAGCAGATGTATGTGTCACGTTATAGATAACGTCACGTTAAACATTTTACTGATGTGAACAGATGGAAGCTTCAGCGCCTCCAGTTGGGCTTTTCATAAACTCCCACTGCATTACTTTTACCTGCAAGTTAATGAAAAGTGCATCACAAGGTTCATGGGTTGGGGTTCGGCTCATCCATGAACTGTGTGGTTGTGTTTCCAGGAGTGTGTTTGCTGTGTGGAGGTCTGTGGTCGATGCTACAGCTCAGACGGCTGCATCTCGACTAGCTGCTGTGGAAGAATACCGCGCGCTGATTGGACAAGCCTCCAGAAGCCTCCGCAACGCAAAGGACGTCCGAGCAAAGAGAGTGAGTCGGTATAGGCGAGGAATCGGTCGGTTAACGAGGTCGGTTAACGAGGTCGGTTAACGAGGTCGACTTCTGGCATGTTTCTGATTATTGGTACGGTTGTTTCTACTGACAGTAAATTAAATGTCCATGTTACGTCCCTGTGGCACTAGAGGACGAGGAGCTCTGAAGACCGGACCAGAGCAACTGATCATGGAACAAAAAGTGATTTACTTACTATTAAAGCAAAACTAAACTCAACAGAAAACGAGCTGCTTAGAAAAGCGATCAGGCTGATCAGGACCACACAGCACACCAGCTGCTGATGTGGTCCGCTGGTACCAACGGGCCTTTTGTTTGTTTGGTTTTTTTAAAGATATTTTTTGGCCTTTTTGAGGCATAGATAGAGCAGAGAGAGAGACGGGACAGTATGGGGGGTAGAATGTGGGAAAGACCTGCAGCAAAGGGTCACGAGCGGGACTCAAACCCACGACCACTGCGTCGGGGACTACAGCCCCTGTACATGGGACGCCAGCTCAACCAGGTGAGCTATGGGGCGCCCAGGGCAGCCTGGCTTTGAGGCTCCACGTAATTGCAGAAAGGAAGCAGGTACACCTGGAGACAGGTAAGCACAGGTAGACCTGGACACTCCTGCTGCTTCTCAGACTGTAGCCTAAAAAAGAGAAAAAACACACAACCTATTGACACAAATATACAGCACTGAGGGCTGTAACAGCCTTTCTGATTGGTTACACGTCATGATTACCAGCCAATCACTGAAAGCGATTGTTGACACAGAGAGACAGATGAGCACATTAGCAGACTGTAGCAGCTCCAGCTAGCAGCTGTTTGAGGTGAAGCTCTAATAAACACACAGTCTTACAAAAGCATCTCCCGTTTCCCCTGAAAACACCTGAACAATTCACCTGGAGGCGTCAAAGCAGCTGGAACTGATTCTGCTGACGCTGCTAGGCTAATGCTAACACTTAGAAGGCTAGCTGAGACTCGTTAACTCTGGTCTCACTGACAGACTCGTCTCTCTGCAGACTCGACCTGCAAACACTGAACAAGAAGCACAAACATCAGCACAAATCAGGACATTAGCTGCTGTCACAGCGGCTAATGCTATGCTAACGGCTAGAAGCTAAGTTAGCAGCCAGCTACAGATTACACTTGAACACAACAACTAATTAGGCTTTAAGATCAGGAGCTTAGTGGGAAGTAGAAGAGACAGAACAGAGAAAGAAAACAGAAGAACAGCAGACAGACCTGCAGGAGACAAATTGGTATTGATCTCAATCTATCGATCGATCGATCAGTATTCCAGTAACCAGAGTTCTTATGTCATGTGACATTCTAATGTCATCACATCTGTTTCTACTGTACATATTCAGTTACAGTAAACTTTACCAATGAAGTGATCCAGTTATGAATGGCAGGGTTTTGTTATCACAAGCTGTTAATATGGAACATTTAATCTTGTTTCAGGGCCTGGAGCAGCTGCAGAAGCTTCAGGCCGAGCTGGTGGAGGCTGTGCGGGAGCTGCAGAGGCTGAAGAAGTCCTACGACCAGGTCAGCCACATCACCGGCACTGCCCGGGAGAAAGCTGCAGACGCCCAGAGCAGGTCAGAATGCACAACTGTCTGGTGGCCAGTATGTGAACACATGGACACTGGTTGGTTCATTTTCACTCTAATTTGTGTTCTGCTGGAATCAGCTCTGTGGCAGATGGGTTCAGTTGGTTTATTGGTCTCACACGATGTAAATGCTCTGCACTGCTATAGCGCCGTTCTAGCTCAGTGCTACTCAAAGCGCTTTACAACGTTTCTCATTCACACACATTCACACACCAGAGCTGCCATGGCGCTGCCTGCTGTTGGGATTCAGCGTCTTGCTCAAGGACACTTCAACTGTGGACTGGGTCGAACCGCCAACCAACCAGTGGACAAGCCGCAGGAGCACCAGAGCCACAGCCGGCCTGTGTAGTCGGGTGGTGCCACTGGTGGATGTTTTCACCAGACCATGTTAGCACAGAGCTCAGAACAAAGACCGAGTCTCCTGCTTGAGAAACCACCGTTTTGTGCAACACATCAGATTGTGGTGATGGACGGTGTCACAGAGAAACGTTTACTTTCTCTAAAATAATGTTTCATTAGTGGCATCTTTCTGTTCGTTGTCTTATGGAATATATGTATGATTTGACTTCCAGAGCCAGAAAGAGTGAACACGGCATTTTCCACTTTAAGTCAGGACTACAGAAGATGACCGCTAAGGTATGGATCTGAAATGAACTTTGATTCTAGATTCTTTTCACCTTCATGTGAAAACAAAGCTGCTTTAATGAGCATTTCCACTTGGTGTGAAGTTTCACCTCCATGTCAGTCCGTTTCCTGTATACAACCCTGAAGGACTCACGTTCTTCACAGACGAACTGCTGTGATCAGTAGTCCAACGTTTCTCTGCCTGTTTATCTGCATCCATCATGTCTGTGAAGACTCATCCTGGTCATGCTTATTCTGGTACATCCATCATGTTTTCCAGCAGAGTCAGTGGCATTTTGTCCTCAGCTGAAATTTGTCCTTTTACTTCAACGATGATGTAACTCAGGGAACTAACCGAGAGTCACTTCTCGGTCCTGACTGCTCTGTGATGTGACCACATTTTCAGAGTTCAAACGATCGGATTCATGAATTCAGCATCATGCAGCTGCTGGTCAGGTGCATCTGCAGAGCGTGGTCCTCATGATGTGGTAGAAAAGGTCGCTGGTCTGATTCTTGTCACCTGATGGGGTCTGGAC